CCTTGTGTGTTATGAAGGTTTTTCTGCATGTAAACGGTCTGCAGAGTCAAACCCCTCAAAGTACACCCTGTAGGGAGTAAAACTCTAACACAGAAAAGACCTGTCTATGCTGCCCCAGAACGCCTCGTTGGAGATTTCTCTTTTTCCATTGTTTTCTTCCAAATGGACCAATCCGTGGAGCTCCTCACACGCACACACACGCACACGCACACGCACACACACACAGCGGCGAAACTGTGACGTAACTGTTAACGTCTGTAAAATAACTAAAGATATTAAATAAATGTAGGGGAGTAAATGTACAATATGTACCTCTAAATTGTAGTGTGGTTGAAGAAGTACAACGTTGGAAATACTCAAGTGAAGTACAAGTCTCTCATAATTGTACTCAAATACAGTAGTTGAGTACACCTACGTAGTTACTTTACACCACTTCTAATCTTATACAATCTAATAAAACAGTGTTGACTACTTAAAGTAAGATGTTGAAGTATCCTATTGTATTGCATTTTGAACATTGTTTCTGATTTTTCGTTACTGAACATGTAGGATATTATTATTTCCTCTACTAGTTAACAATGTGACCAATAGATACTCAGCATAGATATTAGGACACTGAGTTCTGGTAGGATTCACTGTCCTCCAATTTAGACAAGGCCTCGTTCTGAAGAGGCTCAGACTGATCAGCCTTGTCATGTTGATATGGATTTATTTATAGAGGACACTGCCCTTGAACTGGGGCACACACACCAAGGCCGTAACCATGAGTCAACATTGGCGGGGACCACAAATAAAAAAGTCATAGAATAGCAATTGTAATTGTTTTATATCAGTTAGGCTATTGGGGGGGGGGGGCAATGTAGGCTGTATGGTAAATTCGGCCTTGATACACACCATTGTCTGCAGATAGTGCAACACAAGCTCTGCAAAACCAACCTCACATATCCATCAGATTGCGTAGCATTGATAACTGTACATTAACATAGTGTTTTTTTGGTATGGTTCATACAAATACATTAAATAATAAAAATATCAGTGACACCACTGTGTCTCAATTCTTTTGTGTATGTTGAAAACACGAAGGCGACTATTTTAACGAGGCTTTGGAGCAGGTTGGGACCGCGGCTCCATCAGCTAGACGCAGCACTGATGGCTGCTCTCCGTTAGAAAATCACTACGCGTTCAGATTACATCAGTGCGCTAAATGCACTGCTGGTTAATGTTGTTAGCCAAACATGCTAACACATTTGGGCCACAGCATAGCGGTTCTATTTAACAAATTGAACAACATAAACGAGCACCATCATACAGATACACACCTTCAGGAGGTTATGTCTTTGGTGGCACTGCCGAACAACGCCTCTGTTTACACGCCACGTTCCGCTGCGGTAATAAAGCCGTCCATTCTTCGTATCAGTTGAACCGTGGGTCTGCTGGCCGGGTGTAAGCAGCTTAGCTCAGTCTCTCTCCCCCCATTCCGCGTCAGATGGTCGGGTCCTCTCCGCCTGTGACAGCCGTGCGGCAGCAGCTGCTGGAGGTGTCCCCGGGTTGAGGCTATTCTCAATATTGTTCTCAATATATGGTTTTAGTATGACCATCAAATGGTAACATTCTACAACAATGGTAGAAGTAGCCTACTGTCACTTACTTTTGCAGACACCAAAATACATGACGTTGACCTAATACTCACATTCATTATGTTGAATAAATAGAGATTGTCTTTGCAATGGTACTAAATAAATACATTTAAAAAATGGTTTTATTAATAAAATTGCAATTTTTATTTAAAATCCCAAATTCAAGGAAGTTCCTTGTCACTTTGATCATACATGGAAGTGGAGGAGCCTATAGTTTTCATTTAAAAATATTTCTTTTTCAATAAATAAATCTCAGTCACATTTACATAACATTACATACATCAAATATAACACTGAAATGGTAAAACATTGTTTAATTATTATTAATAATATCAAATAATTGAATAAAAGTCACCCAAAATGACATCATTGGTGTTACTGCTACACAAAACGCTTTTATGTTTGAAATAATGTAGTGTCTCTGAAGAGCTTCCTGTAAGAGATCCTTTGAGGCAGTGCCTTGGACAAAGACATAGGGTAAGTCAGATACTTCTTACTTTGTTTGTTAAAGATGTCATTTTATCTTCGAATTTTACGTGCAGCTTTTAAGTCTGTCATTAGTGTTACTCATTTCATAGCCCTAGGGGTGAACATTTGAACGGGAAAATGTATTGCATTGAAGAGTTAAATATTTTAGATATTGACTGGAGCCATATGTGGTCTAACACATGGCAGCCATTTTGTTAAAATTGTAGTGTTTTCTCCAAATTGTCACTGGTGTTATCGTCACTGGTGTTACTCTTCTTCCTGGCAACACCAGTAACACTAGTGACGTTCCTATATAAATAAGCGTTGTACAATGTATACAAATAATAAAAATACTTTAAGCTCTACTTGTTGTGGATTCATCAAGTTAAGAAGCTAGTTATTGCTATTTAACAGGTTTTAGATGTGTAAGAAGGAATGCATTTCAGCAGATTTGTATCACCCAGATTCCACCTTTTCTGTAGAATGACAGGCCTACATTACTCTCTTTATTTGTATGCTTTGGTTTAGTAGATATCTACAAACAAAGAGTCGATATTTTTCTAAAACAATTTAGTGCTTCATATAATAAAATACACAACGGCTGTATCCTGATATATTGTGTGTGTGTGTGTGGGGGAGGGGGGGATATCCAGTCTCTGATAGTGGTATGTTATTATGGTATATATTTATATAAATATATATATATATATGTGTGTATATGTCCGTATCTGTAGCCTGTTATTGTCTCATTATACCGCACTGTCAATGAATTTAAAGTAAATATATAAGTTGTCATGAACACATCTGTCCATCAGACAGAGTGCTGCTGTGCCGGACTGTCATCATTAATGGACGTCTCTTTAAAATGACCGCTCAGAGGAGAGGATTTCTCGTTTCTCTAAACGCCTGCTGCTTCCCCTCCTCTCTCCTCGGTTCCCCTCCTCGACTCCTCCACTCGCATCTCTTGTGGGTGGGACTAAGACACGGGGATAGGAGGGTAGGGGAGTCGAATTAGTGAAATGAGAAAGCTTCATGCACTTCAGCCTCGTGGCCAATAAATTACGGCACTTAACACAAAGGTGAAGGAGTCACAACATAAAAAAAAGAAACATTTATTCAGTGAGCACCAGGCAGTACAATTGTTCGCTTTCCTCAGAGACTCAAGTTTTTTTTGCACTGTAATCATAAATCAGACATCAGTAAAAGGACTTTTCATTTCATATCAAACACTTTCATCTTTACAGGCAAAACTCTTGAACTACATCTAAAGCTTGGTGGGAGAAATACTTCATTTAGTGTGTGTCATACAAAACCTACCTCTACAGAGTAAAAAACAAAGACATTAAGACAACAATAACAAACATACATATACTGTACATACACATGTTCCAAGTTCATACAAATCTGAAAGTGAACTCGCAAGATTTTCCCACTGTGTCCTGCTACTGTATAAATTAATACAAAAATCACACATTGATGATTTTGACTCTAAAGCTCTGATAGTGTTGACACTACTTTTTAATGAGTTATTGCAAGCAGCAGGACGAAAGAAAACAGGAAGAAAAAATTGCTGCTTTGGACTTGAATTTGTAAAAGACAATCAAGCTTTAATACTTGCATAGAGATGCTAAATGGTAATGCATTAACTGATCAATTCAAAGTAAGTCAACAAGTTTTTCCTGGGGGGGGGGGGCGATTAGGTCTCTGATATTATTTGTGTACTCGCCTACATTTTAGTCTAGATGACAAATTTCGACTTATTCTACGGAAGCCATGAGATGCAAAAAAAAGTTCTCTAGCCTGTGATCAGGATTTAAAAATGGGTAAAAAAAAGATGATCTTTCGAAATCCTAAATAAACTCACATTTTTTGAATAAATTTGGCCTCAGAATATAACTGTTTAAATAGTGTCAGCAAGTGATTACCTTCATGTCTTTCTTTCGGTTAGAAATGTATTTTAATTGATGCTAATCTGACGCTTTTAGACTTGTTTAGAACATTAGGTAGTGATGCGCTTCTGCCTTTAGTGGGCAAATTAAGTATTACAACTACGCTGTCAACCACAATGCGGACAAAACAAAAAACCCTAACTTAATTAAACATCCTGATGAAACATTTTTTTAAAACTATTTAGTTTTTTCTTCAGAATATTTGTTCTCAACTTCCTATTAGGCTTTTACGGAAGAGGATAAGGGCCAGATGTGAGAAAATGTGGGGATGTCAAAAAATCTGAGAAAAAGTCAGAATTCTGACTCTGTTTATCAGAATTCTGACTTTTTTCTCAGAACAAAAAATCCCCACATTTTCTAATCCTTTTCCGTAGGCTGTTTTATAGTGTCTTGAATGTTGCTTTAATAATCCGCAGCTTTAACAAATAGAGATGATCCTAGTGGTAAAATGTTTTTGGCAAAATCCAGCCAGTGTTTTTTGGCCTGAAAATAAAATGGATGAATAAGAAGTGATGCTGTGATTGGTTGACTTTGCTAGCAGGAAGTCATTTTCATACAGTGAATTAACATTTAAAATACGACAGGAAGACATGGTCACTGACATTAGAGGTTCACACACAAAGAAATATGTCATTACATGTGTGCAGTATGTTTCTCAAACGGTTCACATTGTGCTCATCATATTTATACTGTAAATCTGGTGATAATCTATATTTTTCTCTGTGTTACCACATCCTATTTAAAGACCAACACTAACAATTGATTGATCTTATTAATTATGAACTTTCACTGGGTTCCTATATTACCATGAACACACACACTGTAGTTTATTTCAACTCAATCCCATTTACGCTGTCCTGCTGCCAAAAATTAGACGGTAGATAGCCAAATGTGTGTAAATCCACCACTGAAAATAGTCCCAAACAAATGCACTATTTCCTCTTGTTCGCATGAAGTTTGCTAAAAACTAAAGGGACCAGCTGTTGTTGATATTTTCATTCATGGGGTTTGTTGACTGTATTGAACTGTAGGGAAAATACAAAAAAAGATCTATAATTCTGAAAATGATAAGCAACAATTATAATTTTTTAGTTAAAGGAGTACCTCAGCCACAAAATGGCCATTTCTTCATCTGTAACTCACCCTGTGTTACCTTGAATAATTTTTGTTAAATGCCGCCCACATTTAATTCCATTCATCAATAATTTTTTTTGTTTTCTTATTCTTTGTTCACCATGTAGGCATGTAAGATTTATTTTCTTCAAGAATTTTAATTAACAGGGTGAGTAACTGATATACAAGTAGACAGTTTGTGGGTGAAGTATTCCTTAAAAAAAGCACTTTATAAATGTAATGTATTATTATTATTATTATTAAAACAGAACCTGCACAGTAATGGTTCAGTTATTCAGCTGTGCTCAGATCAGTCTGTGTCAGTGCCTGATATCCCGAGTCATTCCTCACTTTAACAACACATACTGTTAATATCAATGTCCTGTGTGATGCTGTCATTAAAAAAAGTTTAGTTAATTAAAATCTAACTTGGGACTGACGCATGTTGGGTTAAACATTGGCACTAAAGACAAACCTAAACATAGTGAAAGAAACTCAAATGTGTGTTTTCATTAGGCGCCTGCTGCGTGTCAACGTGGGTGTATATTTTCTGAACGCATTAACAAAAAGTGCCTTCTGTCTGTCATTTATATGCAGTGATATGTCTTCATATATGTGCCTGCATGTGTTTTCCATTTCAATTCAAATGCATGTGAACTTAGTCACATGTTCTACTCTTCACTTTCAGCACGCCTGCATGTGTGTGTTCTTCAGGTCCTCTTTTGATGCGTTTTCCCCACGTATGTGTTCTCTATGCACAGCACGATGTAGTGGTTGGAGCAGGAGCGCGTGTGCTGCCCCAGCAGGCGTCCCGTCTGCAGCAGAGCAGCCTGGCCCGTCACCGCCATATCTCCCGTCCTCCACGCCTCGCAGTAGTTGGAGGTGAGGCGGATGCCCACCGTGTTGGAGCCGTGCCAAACCTGCTTCTCTGGCCTGGGGGGAGACAGGGTGGGTTAGTGAGGGGAGTACTCGAGTCCTGGACTCGGATTCGGATTTGTGACTTCACTCTGACTCGCGCAGTAATGGGCTTGAACTCGTACTTGGGAATTCTAGCGCCCGAAGACTCAGACTCTGACTCGGACTACGACTCGGACTACGACTCGGACTACGACTCGGACTACGACTCGGCTGCGCGCACTGATGGACTCGGACTCGAACATGATAATGATTGCCTCCACACAATTACTTTTCCTTACTTACTCACACCAGACTTGCAGTACTCGAGTTCTGGAATCGGTCTTGGGTCGGACTTGAGTGCCAATTTTCGGGACTTGGCTCAGACTTGCGCAGTTATCGGCTCGAACACATACTTGGGAATTCTAGCGCACGAAGACTCGGACTCGGACTCGGGTGCGCGCAGCGATGGACTCGGACTCCAACTCGCACACTGATGACTACTCAATGTTCTAAACAGACTCGAGCACAGGTAATGATGACTCAGACTCGTACTTGACTCGGACTCTTGCTAGGTGACCCGGACTTGGAATCGGATTCTAAGAGTGGGGACTCGAGAGTGACTCGGACTCGAAAATTGGTGACTTTACTACAACAGACAGAAACATACTCACCATGCTGAGTCAGTCATCACATCGCGTCCATCGAAGGAGTAGATGGGTGTGGACGGGGTAAAAGTGCCTCCATTCCCAGAGAAGATGGACATCCAACTACTGAACAACACCTCACCCTGAGAAGAGAGGAGAGATGTTATATAAAAGAAGATGTTGATGGTAAAAAACAATATCTATTATAGTTGCTAAAATATAATTGTATCTATAAAAGTGTCCTCACCCTGAGGTTAACCACGGGCATGTCAGTGCGGTCGGCCTTCCTCACGATGGTCGCCAGGTCCTGCAGGTGTGAGGACAGGAAGGCCCGGTAGGTGGTGGTCAGCCCCATGGAGCGGGCCTGCTGGTAGCACTGGAAGTCGGCCCCCCGGATGCCACGCATGTCCCCCTTCAGCGGGGCGTTCAGGGCCACCAGATGGAGCTGGGAAAGAGTGAAAACACAGATATGAGGAGAAGTTATACTCGGTACACACCTGATTGGGGCTGGTGTTCGGCAAAATACACTGAACAAAAATATAAACGCAACACTTTTGTTTTTGCTCCCATTTTTCATGAGATGAACTCAAAGATCTAAAACATTTTCTAACTACACAAAATAACCATTTCTCTCAAATATTGTTCACAAATCTGAAAAAATATGTGATAGTGAGCACTTCTCCTTTGCCGAGATAATCCATCCCATCTCACAGGTGTGGCATATCAAGATGCTGATTAGACAGCATGATTATTGCACAGGTGTGCCTTAGGCTGGCCACAATAAAAGGCCACTCTGAAACGTGCATTTTTGCTTTATTGGGGGGGTCTGGGGGGGTCCGAAAACCCTAGGGTTAAACCCTAACCCTAACATGTCACCCATTGAGCATGTTTGGGATGCTCTGGATCGGCGTATACGACAGCGTGTTCCAGTTCCTGCCAATATCCAGCAACTTCGCACAGCCATTGAAGAGGAGTGGACCAACATTCCAC